CACACACACACACACACACACACACACACACACACACACACACAGACCTTTCAGCAAGATTAGTACCATTATTATTATTTACATATGCTTTTTGTTGCTGTGTTTTTGTTCTCTCTGTTTCTGCAGGTGTGCAGCCAAGATGTCAGGTGTGTTGTCTTATGCTTTCTTAATGTATATTTCACATACCTTCTAATCTCTCTTTCACTCTTTCCCATTACATTTCACCAATAAATAAATAAATAAATAAATAAACCAATATGAGTAACGTATATAACTTGTCCCATAACTTACACAAGTGGATGACAGATTTTTATGAAGAGTTTAAACGCAGAATTAGGGTAAATAAGGCTAAACTTATCCAAAGCATGTTGGAGCATACTTTTTTTATTTTACTGTTGTTTAACCAGGTAAATCCTATTGAGATCACAGAACTCTTTTTCAAGGGCAGCCTGGGCCTGAAGGCAACCTATTGTGCATATTTTTGGGGTGTGGGGAAAACATGAGGAGAACATGCAAACTCTACACAGAAAGACCCCTGGTCTGAACCAGGGATCGAACCCAGGACCTTCTTGCTGTGAGGCGTCGGTGCTAACCACTGTGTCGTGCCGCCACACAAAATATCACAATGATCATGTGATCAGATCAGAGAGATCTTCATATTAGAGACTTTACAGTCAAGCAAACAGAGTCAAGTTTCAGTGAATGTCATATCATCCTATCACACTCTCTAAACATAAAATGATTCACCTGTCCACACACAGGAACTTTCTCTCACTCATGGTGTCAATTTACAGCCAATAACACAGACTTAGACATGAACAACTCACCAGAACAATTAATTTTTACACTCATGGACATCTTTAATAGTCATATACATGAACACGTCCTTTATCCCAGGCATCCCTCGCAGCCTTATTTTATTGAAGGCAGTGCTTGATTCTTCTTCTTTTACTCCTGTAACGTTAACAGCAGCACCACAAGCCCGATAAATTAACGCCTGGATTTGACCAAAATGTATTAATAAAGGCTTGTGGTCCAGAGACGTTCACTGGCGTGTGATTGATGACATCATCAAACTGGATTATCTCAGGGAGAGCATGATCCAAACTATTGTTTGAGAAAAAATGTTAAAAATAAATATGGCACTTTTTCCATAACTTCAGTGAAATGTTTTTTTTTTTATTTTATTTTGTACAGACAATGTTTACCTATGGATTGCATCTAGTGGGTATCACAGTAAAAGCAGGCATAATGTCCCTGACAGGAGTTGTGTGATGTCACCTTAATATCAGTTCGCAATATTGGTTAATATCGGAATCAGAAATTAAGTGTTGTATATCGGCATATCAAATATCTGCAAAAAAGTCAATATCGAGCATCTCTACTACAAAACTTTTGTTTTTCTCATTCAAAAAATGTTAAAATTGGAGACATTTCTGGGGACAGGTTGTGGATCACCCTACCTAAGTTATGGTCTTTGAGAACATTAGCTGATACTTTGTCCCATCACTCACTAGATGAAGATTATGGATACTTCTCAACACCAAAAATCCAATGTGTTTGCTGGGTCTGACGAGTTCTACATGCTTTAAATT